AGATAACTGGGGAATAGGTTCTGTGAGGAATCCAATCCTGAACTTGGCCAGCACAAGGAAAATATTTAAGAAAGATTTTGAGCTTATGATCTTGGAAGAAGCAGATGCTATGACCTAAAGTGCCCTGAAGCAAGTTGAGATTCAGAAATTTACCACGAACACCAGTTCTACCTAATGTATCCTCCATTGCTAATGAGGCAATAGAAACCCAAGGAGGTTAAATTACCTTCCCAAAGTCACCCTATTAATTTTGGAATTTCTAAGATTCTGATTCCTAAGCTATTGCTGTCTCCTGTAGACCAGTCAGTTCCTCAAGTTTAGTGTTATCAGATGTATCATTGTTGTAACATTATTAATTATGAAAAAGGACTAGTGAAAAAAGGTTTGAGCTAATCAAGAGACTGTGTATGTATATGCATTTAGCTTATCTGCAAGACTGCTGTAGACTTATAGATAAGAACCAAATACAGGATTAACATGTTGTGTTTAAGCATTACTTTTCCACTGGGAACCTATTATTAGAAAAAGGAAATGATTCTTCTGCCTATTTTGGGGGTACTCCAGAAAGAAGTTGCTTTTATGTCCCCTGAAGGTAATTTAAATAAGCATGATTTATCACGTGATTTATTTAACATATTTATCTAGGGTCAAACAGTATTTTTAAAAATTATTTACATAGCAAGTTAACTGACCACCACCTCTGAGCCCCCACAAATATTCTTTATAGGACTTTTATATCTCTTGTATTGCTAAAAATAAAAAAATTGGTAATGGTGGTGGTAAACTACTAGGTGATATTTGCCTGAGTACTTACTATAAGGGGTCTATGGTGATTAACAGGGCTAATTATTTCAGTGTGTTCTATTATATTCTTCAGCATGTTACCAAACTGCTGTGGGTGAACTATGCCGGCAGCATGATGTAGTGCATAGAGCGCTGGACTTGGAGTGAGGAAGACCTGGGTTCAGATTCTCAACCTTTTTGACCTCTAGAATTTGACATCTTCTAACCACTGTCCTCTTCTGGACACTGTCTCCTTTGTGGTTTTGGCCACCATGCTTCTTTCTGGTTCTTCTCCTGCCTGTCTTACTGCTCCTTTTCAAATTCCTTTGCTGTATCTTCATTTCAGGTTGTGCCCACTAAGCATGGATATCCCCAAGGTCTTCTCCTGGGTCCTCTTCTCTTTCAGTACTAATCTCGCCTGCTGATCTTATCAGCTCCCATGGGTTCAATTATCACCTCTATGTAGATGATTCCAGCTATATATATATTGCCCTGGTCTCTCTTCTGAGCTACAGTCCTATATCACCAACTACCTAATGCATACCTCATACTGGATGTCTCACAGTGCTCTCAAATGTAATGTAGCCAAAGCAAAACTCATTGTCTTTCTCCCCATTAGCTCCTCTCCCCTCCAGTTTCCCTGTCATTGTCAAGGACACCACCATCATCCCAGTCACCCAGGCTCAGAATTTCAGTGTCATATTTGATACCTCACTTGTGCTCAGTCCACATGCCATATTCTATCTTTTGCCAAGTTTTGTTTCCATCTTCAAAATATCTCTCATATGATATCCCCTTATCCTCTTTATACTCACACAGCTACCACTCTTGTGCAGGCCCTCATCAATAAGCATTTATTAAACATTTAGTACTGTTCCAACACTGTGTTAAGGACTATGGATATAAAGACAAAAATGAAATAGTCCCTTTTCTCAAAGAGCTTATTGTTCTAAAAGAGGAGGAAGCAAGGATGTGTGAGTGTGTGTGTTCGTGTGTGCACACAAGATACATACAACATAGATACGAAGTAATCTTAGAGAGGATGCCTCCTGTAGAAAGAGGAGTGTAAGCAGAATTCCTGGAGAAGAGGAAGGTATAAAAAGACTAGAAAGGTAGGAAGGAGCCAAGTTATCAAGGGCTTCAGATGCCAAACAGGATTTTATATTTGATGTTAGAAGTTTAGGGAGCCACTGGTGTTTATTGAATGTGGGGAGTGGTGTGTGTCACATGGCCATCACATGGCCAGATCTGTGTTTTAGGAAGATCAGTTTGAAAGCTGAGTGGAGGATGGAGTAGAGTGGAGAGGGGCTTGGAACAGGAGGCCAAGCAGAAGCCTTTTGGAATAGTCCAGGCATGAGGTGTGGAGGGCCTATACCAAGGAGCTAGCAGTGTCAGAGGAGAGAAGGGGTCATATGCAAGTGATGTTATAAAGGGAGAATCAACAGGACTTGGCAACAAATTAGATTAGAGAAAGAAAGAGAAGAGTGGAGGCTAACACTGAGGTTATGAGCCTGGGTGACTGACAGGGTCGTGGTGCACTTGTCCCATGTAATCAGTGAGTTCTGTTTGGTCCATTTTAATTTTCAGGAAGTCTGTTACTTGGATAAGGTTTTGCATCTCTTGTGCTACTAAGCTGCTAATGTTCCCTAAAAAAAGAGGTCTTAACCTCTGGCACTTAACTCTGTTCCAGTTTGTTCTTCTAGAGCACTCATTTACAAACTGATTTTTAAACTTTTGCTTCATTTCTTCTAGGAATTCCAGTTGATCTTGTGATAAAGTTGGGTTTTTCTTTAAGACTTTGCTTTTAGATGTTGTAGACTTATTCTCTTAGATATCTCTGGCTCCATAATAGTCCTTTACCATAGTTTTTTAATTTTTATTCTTCCAGCCTTATTCCTGAATTTGGGACTTTTTGTTAGGACCAGGCTCTGCATACTTCTGGAGAGAGTTTTGAGGCCTTTTTTGTTTCTGCTTTGTTTTCTTTTATATCCTGCTGTTGGTTTTTCAGGGTATTAAGCATTATATTCTTCAAGGATCTTAGCAATGGCTCTGACTAGGGAGCTGCAAATTTTCAGTATCCCTAAATGGTCTGATCTGGGGAGAAATCTGTTCGAGGCTTTTCAGGCTCCCAACCCAGGATTTTGTCTGAGTGACACAACTACAGGTTTTTCCCTGGTTGGGGCTTCAGGAGAGACATCTACTAGCCCCAGACCTGTCAGCTTGAAGGCTGGACAGGTTCAGAGGGACAAAGCTTCAGGCTTTTCTTTGGTTTGAGCTCCCTGCTCTGGTAACTCAGCTTCAGACCTTCCCCCTGGGAGATCCTCATCTAGGATCAGAATGACATACTTTCTGGAAATTCTGCCTATTCCCACTCCCTGCCTGGTATGCCATCCCTGTTTCTTGCCATGCTGAATCTGTGATCTTGCTCTCTTTTCCCTGGTACAGAGCTGTTGACCCTAGCCTTAGTCCATACTAGATCTGGGACCCTGTTCTATGGTAAGAGCAACATAGCTTCCGGCTCAGTTTGCTTCTGTTCCTGTTCCCTGCCTTGAGGGAACCTCAGGCTTTAGCACGGAATCTACAACCCAGCTCTGGAATCACTGACACATCTGCCAGCTCTTTTCTGTTCTCCAAGCTGAATCCTTGATCTCTGGAGGCTCCTTGCCCTTTTACACAGCCACAGGCTCCAGCCATGTCTTTGTGCTATAAAGCTCTTTCTTCCTGGCCAGACCTACTCTCCAGTGCCCAAAGTCATGTTGACCTTTGTTGAAAAAATGATGCATTGTGCTTTCTCCTTGGATTTCCCAATCACTGCTCAATCTGGTGATCTTCCTCAGTCTTTGTGGGAATATTTGTGGAAGAGAGCTAGGCTGTACCGCTTTCTCCTTTTCTGCCATTTTTGCTGGTTTCCAACCCCATCCAGTCCTGAGTAACCCCCAGAAGAAAGTAACAGTTGTCTATATTGGGGTGAAAGGAACAGTTATTATGGTTTTTTCCTTTCAGAATAAAACATGAACTTTGAACATTGCTGTCAGAGTTCTCCACCTTTTGGTCATACTCTCATCTTCTGCCTTTGTTTTCTGCTTTACAGTATCTCACGCACTCCATTCTAGCTAAAATATCTTCTTCTGAGCTCTTGTAACTGCCTATTTCTAAACTTTGGCCCACCTTAAAGGGTTGCCTAGTCACAACTCAGAAAGGAAAAAGAGAAGAGAAAAAATAGCTAGGGAACATAGGAGGAGCCCTTTATCCCTATCTAGTTAAATCCAGTAATAATAGAGGTGGAAGCTGGAAGTGGGCTTCGGATAGTGATGATTTTATCATTTCCTATATATTCAGTCTCTCTTCTTTCCTCCTTTCCCTCCTTAACCCACCCAAGTTCTATTATTGTGCCATGTACAAAAAATTCATAGAGTCCCAGTTCAAGTTTTATTTATGGACTGCTGCCTGCCTCTTTGGTCAATGAAGTCCAAGGATCTGGGTTCCTATCCCCCCCTCTGAGCCTTACTTCCTATGCTTTTCTGGCAAGTCATTTAACCTCTCTAAGCCTCAGGTTCCTTATCTATTAAATGAGTTGGTGAGATTAAATGACTTCTAAGATACCTTTCAACTCTAAGTCTATGATCCTGTACCATATTTTAGAAAGTTTTCCTTGATTAGCCTGTTCTATTTTCCAACCCATGAATGTAATTAATAACTCAGTTCTTTAGTTCAGCTCATTCATATTGATCTTTTTTATCTTGTCCTTTTACAAAGGCAAGTCTTGGGTCTGTTTGGTAATATATAACCCCTGAACACCTAGAGTATAATTTCATTCCTTGGTGACTCCTACTCTTCTCCCAATATGGATCTGTTATAGCCATGAGTAAGGTAAATTGTTGAAAAGTTGAGAGACTCATGGAAGAAAAAGTGTTTTTAATGTTGTGAACAGGAAGTATAAAGTAGAACAAAGGAATTTTGAAGAAAAGAAGGAAATCAGAGGTGTAATTCATGGGCTCGTGGATTATTTTGGAATATGTTTTTCTTGGTTGTATGACTAATTCTTTTCCAGGGTGATTTCCCCCCCACCCCCAACTCTGGAAATTTGCATTTCTTTAAGTAAGTTATTGACCTTAAGTTAGTAAACTGCTGGAGTGGGGGGAAAAATCCACATAACTGTTAGCTATATATCTAGTAGCAAATTAATGTGAACTAAGTAATTCTTTTTCTCCGTGCAGATTGAGGTGGCATCATGCAGCCTGATATTGAGAGATACAGACCTCGGGCCAGAAAGCCAGATATGGCCCTTTATGTACCCAAAGCTCGCAGAGGTTCAGTGCTTCCCATATCAAGTCATCAGGAAATGAGCTATAGTCATCTGAATGCTGTAGTGAAGCAAGGGCAAGAAGAAAGTCATCTGCCCTCGAAGAATGATGTCTTCAGAGTCAGTTGTGAACTTCAAAGACCTATTAGTAATCCTAGCAGACAAGAGCACAAGGCCAGGGATGGAAAGAGACCTAATTCAAAATCAAAAAAAGGCACATACTTGAAAGAAAGAAACAAAGGAAAATTCCATACTCAAAAGGGAACTCCCGAGTCCAAAGAAACATTCAACAAAAATCAACAAAAGATCCCAAATCCTAGTAGTTTTTCCAAAGTACCTTCACAAATACATTTTAAACCAAAGAAAGAAGAGAAATTTATGAATTCCAAAACCAGCAATATTTCAGTACCACAAGGACTACTTATATCACAATCTAGTACAGAAACCTGTGAGACTCAGGCTTCCAGTAAACCATTCCAAAGTGTGAAATTATGTGATTTCAGGAAGGAAGAACTAAGTGGAATGAGTTATGCAGAAGGAAACTTGAAAAACCGTGTTAGTACTGATTGTAAGGTAGTAGAGATGGGAGCTAGTTCTCAGTTTTTAGATGAGCCGGTAGGTTGCAGTCCTCTTTTGAATCCTGACAATGTGTTGGCAACCGCACAGCTAAACTCACATTCTGAAATTGTTCAAGAAGTTATCCATACAACAGCTGGCATACCACTAGACAACGAACCTAAGAATGTCAGTGACCTAACTGATGCAGTGTTCCTCAGCAGTGCAGCTGGCATCTTAGATCAGACAAGTGTGCATAGCATATCTGGGGTTGGGGATCCTGTCTCTGACCACGTGCACATAGTCAGTATATTAGAGAATGCCAATGATGTTGTGGATCCAACTTGCATGAGTGGAGAGTCTGAAAAGAATGGTGACCCTGCTGATGAGTCGAATGTGTGCTATGAACCTGATAATTTAAGTGACTTTGCTGATGAGACATCTACAGGTAGTGAGCTGGAGGATGACAATGACATCACTAAGCAGGCATGTATGAGCATTACAGATGCTATATCTGATGAGACGTGTGTGGGCAGCACCTCGACAATTGTGGGTGGAATCACTGAACAGGCTTGTAGCAGCATAAACAGTTTGCTAGAGTGTATGGGAGTAAGTACTTATATAACCCCTCTTCTAGTAGCTAACAGCTTCGAGTGTGGGAATGAAAACTCAAGCAACTTGACAGTTTGTACAGACGGTTACGTTGAAGATATTTCATCCAGTTATCAAGAGTCAATGGGAGGACTAACAAAGGCCTTGTCAGATTGTACCTCTTTGATACCTATAAAGAAGGAAGCATCCAGCAATCATGGTTCCTGTGCAGACTCTGAACTCTGCATGTTAAATAGGACAGAATTGCTTTCTAACAAGGCCTTGAGCAGTGATCTGGATTGTGCAGATGACATCACAGAGTCTTTGAATAATCTAAGAACTGGTGAAGAGTTCCAAACAGGTGAGGAAATCAACTCTGGGAAAGTAGAATATACTGTATCTTCAGACAGACAACTGGAACTGAAAGCTCCTCATCCTTCCTCCAGTGATGAAAGTGCTCCTGCAGAGGAGAGCTGGGATTCTTTGTTTAATGATGATGGAGATTGCCTGGATCCGCACCTTCTAGAAGAGGTAGGTTTAGATGAAATAGGATGAATCTGGGGATGTCTGTGGGTCTGAGACTACTCAGGCAAAAGTGTGGTGTGCATCCATGCTAACACAAAGTGATACTTATAGACTTAAAATGACAAAAGTTCAAAAAAATCTATCTGCTAGGTCTTTTAAATGAAACCTGTAGAATATAGCTTTGATTCAGTTAGTCATTGCCTCAGGGACTTGATGGAGAATGTTAAAGAATCAGGCATTTGCTGGTGGACAGTGGCTGCCTATTTGGGAGAGACAGAAGAACTTTATTTTAGAGAACTCTATAGTGACAAAATGAATATCAGGTTGCCCCTGTTTAAGATCATGAGTTTTCAGTGGGTATATTCCCATGCAACACATCCTCATGTGTTGTTTTAATTGGTTCCACAGAAACATGACACTAGGTAAAACAACATGGAGTTATAGAATTTAGAATGTAAAGGACCTTAGAGATTCTCTAGTCCTGGATCTTCATTATACCAATGAGGAAACTGAGGCCCTAAGAAATTGACTTTTCCAAGATTAAATAGTATTAAGCAGTAGAGTGTGGATTTGAAGCCAGGTCCTGTGATTCTAAATCCAGGACCCTTTTAGATAGTTAGCCCATAGGAAATATGTCATAAATGGGAAATACTTTGAGGCAGGGAGAATTCAGACTATGAAAGTTTGAAATAAGTATTTATAGAGACCTCAGGGTATATAATCTGTATCCTGGTAATAAATGTTAAATAAAATAATGCAATTAGCATAATTAAAATTTTAAAAAAACTTGAAGAAATTCATAAGGACGGTCCTTCCAGTGTGATGACAGTAAACAGATTGATTTTTGGGAAATTAATGCTGTTGAGCTTGAAGTACTAGCTTGTATCATTGCTGACTATACAATTTTTATCCTGGGTGATCAACTGAAGTATATTATACCCATCACCAATGTAGCATTGCATGTCCCTGCTATAATAATGTTCCTGCAAAGTAATATTGATTGGGTAATGCTATGAGGCGCATCCCTCTATTGATCCCTCTCCCCCTACAACAAATGTATTGTATTGTGTTAGACACTGTGAGTTGAGTTTATATTTATAAAACATAAAGAATACACTTCAGCTATCCTCTAAGAGTTTGCTCTCTAAATTAAAGGAGATATACTACAAAAAAAATCATAGGATTAATGCTTGTACGTTGTATATATAACATACAAGTGAATAATGAAGTACCACGGTGTTGGGTGCTTAGTGTAAGTTATCACCTCTTACAGCTGGTTAGGAAATGCTTTGTGTAGGCTTCGTGTAGGGGTAGCATTTTAAACTTAACTTAGAAGAATGTAGAGGGAAATTAGGTGACTAAGAAAAGGTTGTTCAGGAGAGAACTAGCTTCAGAGGAAGCTTTAAATTTTAGAAGAACTCCTTGCCTTGGGTGGAGAGCAAACATGTATAAGGTGGCAACAAAGTCATTTGGTTTGCTTCTTAGCTAACATATCAATTCAGTTCAACTCAAAAAACATTTACTAAATGCCTGTTATGTGCAGAGAACTGTGCTAAATATTGAGAGAGATAATGGTTTAGATAAGACATAGTGTCTGGCCTAGTAGGGGGATGAGTATTGCACACTACAAATAACTAATAAAAAAGAGAACATCATGAGTGAATGATCAAAATACAATGTGAAGTCCAAAGGGGAAAAAGAACTCACTGGCTGCGGTTTGGGAAAGAATCTAGGAAAGCTTCCCATAGGATATAGCATTTGGATTGGACTTCATAGAGTGGGTAATAATCCAGCAGGTAGAGGCAGGGGGACAAGGTGAAGTATTCCAGGGATGACAACAGTGTACCTTAATAAAGGGATGGAGGACAGCAGAATAGTCGAGTGTTACTGGATCATAGCATACATTGCAGAGAGTATTGGAAAGAGGTTGGCAAGATAGCATAATGCTAGATTTTGGAGGATCTTAAATGTGAGGCTAAGGAGTTTTGATTCTACTTGTTAGGAAGTAGGAAACAACCATCGAACAGTTTTTGGTCAGATTCCACCTGACCAGGTTTCTACAGAAGGAAGATTGGTCTGGCATCAGTGTGAATAGTGATTGGCATGGAGAGGGTGGTGGTAGGAAGACTCATTAAAATGAGTGTAATTGTACATGTGAGTGAGAATGAGGCCTATGCTAGGATTATGGCAGTGGAAATGGAAAAGAGAGATGGATCCCCCTGCCACAGCACCTCCCTTCCCCTCTCTCCTCACTCCCCGGACACCTCAGCTAATTGTACAATGTCATGTTAGACACTAGCTGGTGATGGTAATGTAGACTATTATATAGAATATATACTCTAAGAGTTCACTCTCTAGATTAATAATATGACATAGAAATCAAAGGATAAATGCTTGTACATTGTATATGTAATATACAGCTGAATTATGAAATGCCACTCTGTTGGGTGCTTAGTGTAAGGTATCACCTCTTATAGCTGGTTAGGAAATGCTTCATGTAGGAGATAGCATTTTAAACTTAACTTAGAATGAAAATAAAGAGAGATTATGGAAGTCAAATTAGCAGAAACTAACCGGATATGAGAACCTAGGGATTGTACCACTGATAAAAGTCAAGTCAGGAAAACAAGCAGGTTTTGAGAGGAAGGTAATAAGTTCAGTTTGGGGTATATAGAATTTAAGATGCTGATGGAACTTTTAAAAATTACTTTAGTTTTGGTTTTCAGCAATCATTTCCATAAGCTTTTGAGTTTTAAATTTTTCTCCCCCTCCCTCTCTACCTCCCTCCCCAAGATGGCATGCAGTCTGATACAGGCTCCACATGTATATTCCTATTAAACATATTTTCACGTTAGTCATGTTGTGAGAAAGAATTAGAACCAATAGGAGGAACCAAAAGAAAGAAAAAACAAAACAAAACAGGGGGGAAAAAAGCACAAATGGTGTGGTTCGATCTGCATTCAAACTCCATAATTCTTTCTCTGGATGTGGATAGCATTTTCCATCATGTGACTTTTGGAGATATCTTAGATCCTTACATTGCTGAGAAGACCTAAGTCTATCAAAGTTAGTCATTACACAACATGGCTATTACTGTGTACAATGTTCCCGTGGTTCTGCTCACTTCACTCAGCATCAGTTCATACAGGTCTTTCTAGGTTTTTTAAGTCCACTTGCTCATCATTTCTTATAGCACAATAGTATTCCATTACATTCATATACTACAACTTGTTCAGCCATTCCCCAATAGATGGGCATCCTCTCAATTTCTAATTCTTTGCCACCACAGAAAGAGCTGCTATAAATATTTTTGTACAGGTGGGTCTTTTTCCCATTTTTATGATTTCTTTGAGATATAGACCCAACAGTGCTATTGCCGGGTCAAAGGGTATGCACATTTTTATAGCCCTTTGGGCATAGTTCCAAATTGCTCTCCAAAATGGTTGTATCATTTCACAACTCCACCAGTTATGCATTAGTGTTCCGATTTTCCCACATCTTTTCCAGCATTTGTCATTTTCTTGTTTTGTCATGTTAGCCAATCTGATAGGTGTGATGTGGTACCTCAGAGTTGTTTTGATTTGCATTTCTCTAATCAATATGATTTAGAGCATTTTTTCATATGACTATAGATAGCTTTAATTTCTTAATCTGAACACTGCCTGTTCATATCCTTTGACCATTTATCAATTGGGGAATGACTTGTGTTTTATAAATTTGACTTAGTTCTCTATATATTTTAGAAATGAGGCCCTTATCAGAGAAGAACTCTCCTTTTAACAGTTGGAGAGGTACATTTGGCACCCAGGGAAGAAATCAGTGATAGAGATTTGGGAGTCTTCTATATATATACATGATAATTGAAGCCATGGGGTTGCCAAGAGAGACAATATAGAGGGAAAAAAGTCAAGGACAAAACATGAAGCAACACTTAGCTGGAAGAGAAAGTGCCAGAATAGAACAGAGAAGGAGCAATTAAACAGATGGAAGGAGAACCAATAGTGCCCAGTGCTTGGAAGACACAGAAAGAGGGTTGAACAGCAGTCTTAAATGCTGTAGAAAGGTCAGTGATGATGAGAACTGAAATATTTATACATCCAAATGAGTATTGTTCCCTTCAACGTAACTATCATAGAAACTATACAGTTATTCTAATGGTGCTGTCATTGTTGAAATTCATTTTGGAACTCCTCTTTAGAGAAGGTTAGAACCCTTTGCATTGCCTCAGTTACAGGAAATCTTCATCCCTTGAGTGTGGATTTGACTTTTGCTAACAGCTAAATGATGTTCTGTGCCAATTATGAATAAGGAGGATGATCAAGCTCGGTCACATTGCTTTTGTTTTGTTTTACTTTTTTTTAAACTGTAATTATGAAATAATGATATGGATTTTATGCCTGTGCATGTGACTCAGAAATTGATTCTAAAGGCCAATAACTTGGCAATCAGTACCTATGAGTCTGAAGTCTCAGAACCATAATGTCCTGACCTCATGTAGGATGTGGAAACAGGTGCCAAGTGACAGCCTTGTCACCTACTATCCAATCACAGGTCATAGATCCAAGGTGGATTGTGAAAGGGACCTGCAGTCAGGGGTGGATGTTCCAATGTGAGAAGCAGTCACAGGCCCTAGTTTGTATACTGATAAAGGAAGAAGTTCAGAAGCAAACAGCAGCTCTGTGACTCAGACCCCCAGGAGCAGAATGAGATCTCAGTTCTAGTCTCTTGCCTCTAGCCCAGTCTGAAGCCTGTAGAGGAATAAACAGGACAGAAATCCTAGACTGAAGGGTAGCCTACAGAATGGTCACTCTGAACCAGCTAGCTTATTCTGATTGAATCCAGCCAGCTAAGGAACTTGTGGAGCTTAGGTCAGGATGGGCAGTGATCAGACTATGCCCTGGATCAGACACTTTGGGTACACTAAAAGCTGTTTCTTGAAAGCCTGAAATAACAACAATCATCCCTGAAAAAGAGCAAGACCAAACTAGACCTTCCCTCAAGAAGTC